GTGCACCTGGCATGGTATTGAAGTTGTGGGCATATCTGGTCTCTGGCCTGCAAGGTCAGACAGCTAAGTTTTTCTTCATCATTCTTCAAATGGGCTAAAGCAACTAGAAAGCAACATTTTATCTAAGAAGAACAGCAGAAAATTCCAAACAAAAGTTTATTTCAGAATAACTACCTGCCCCTAAAGCGGGGCAGTCGTGTAGGGTCCGCCTGCGTGTGGTGCTCTTGCGGCTGCCCTGGCCAGTTCAATAAATTTTGCCTGCTTTTCTTTTTAATAAATCATCAGCCTCCGGTGGTCTTATTTTGAACCCAGGGTTCGACCCCACAACAAAGGGTAAACGCTAATCAGAACTATACAGCCTTTACAAGCTCTGGTGTTCGATTTAGAATGAGCTGAGCACTGCACAGCATTACTCTTTCCATCCAAACAAAAAAATAGTAGACCCTCTCTGGGGGAAGAAAACAACATCTACAATCTCACAGTATCTCTTTAGTATTTTGTAAGCAAATGCATTTGATAAAAAAATTACCTAGGGAGCCATGAGCCATGAATAAAAGGCTACAGAGGCGGGGAAAGCAGATGACTGAAACAGACCCATAAGAAATCTAGATATTAGAGTTACCTGCCACAAGCTTTAAAAGAACTGTGATTAATAGATCTAAAAAAATAGATAAAATGGTTAATTTCATGAGATAATTAAGTTTATGCAAAAGAAAAAGATGGATATCCTGAAATTGAAAAATGGATTAAAGTGAAGAATTGATAATTTGAGAGGACATTTTTAAAAGGAGGACACTTTTTTTGGCTTTAGGTTCATCCTAAGTAAACTGTGTTTTTGAAGTTAATGAAAATTAACAGCTGTGTAACAACAAAGGTCTAGAACGTAAAAGAGAATTTCACATCTTAGGTTGAATAATACAGAGCTATAACCTCCGGAGAGAATTATGTAAAGGAACTGGTGCCTCCACTGTTTCCCTCACCAGTGTGGTCAGAGCACTGCGACTTTGGTGAAGGAACACTGAGAGCTATAAGCAAATCTGCAATCACTCATTTTAGACAGCAGTAGGATTTTCCTACTCAGTCCCACTACAAGCAAGTTTATTATGAGAAGTGCGAGTGTATTTTCTAATTTATTGATCATTGTCTACTTTGCACTCTAAAACTTACATGTTAGAGAAATGACACTATGTAAGACATGACAGAATTGGAGATCATTAAAGTGGTTACTATGAGTATATCCAGAGTTATTAAGAGAAACATAATTAGCTACTGTAATAAATCACTTGAGGGTAATAAAATAAAATTTGTTTTGATAAATTTATTTAATGCATCATTGATTAATAATTTTAATACATGATAATTTTACTCTACAGTTTAAACAAGTTCTTAATATTGATAGTTTCTGCATTAATCAAAGTATTTTATTTTTACATACAATATAATAAAAAATAAAGCTGGCATTACCAGCTAGAAGCAACTTATTGTGGAAAAAATTGTACTTACTTCCCGTCTATAATTTTGGTTCTGTAACTTTGACTTGGATAGGAACACAAAATTATACTCCTTATATTTATATATTCTTATGATTTTGTTAGCTCTGTAACTTAAATAGAAATACTTCTGATTTTGTGGAATTAAAATTGCATAATATATTGAAATCATAAAGGAATTATTAAACACTAAGTAGTAACAAATAATTATTAAATAAAAAAATGAGAGATACATTTGTGAATTATTACCCATAATCACCTTGGGGGAAAATTACCCATAAACTCCAAGTTGAGGTCACTTAGAGTCACTGAAATTAAGGTTTTTAGCCTTATATTTGCCTCAATTAACTCTGAAACTTCAAGTATGTCATTCAACCTTTCTGACTCAGTCTGTTTAGCTGTAAAATATAGTTAATTGTGCATGATCTAATTCCATAATTACCTAAGTCAGGCACATTTATTAAACACCTTCTATGTGCCAGCACCTTTGTGAGGATTAAGAATATTAGGAACATAGGATATTGTTGAAGAATTGGAAATGATAATGTATGTGAAAGCATCTGTCAAGGGCAGGACATCCTGTAAGCAGCTACTTTATGCTATCATGATTATAAATACTGTTTTCTAGAAGTGGCAGGAGCACCTGGATCTCATCCCAAATGCACGGGTACATTCATTGTGGCAAATTTTACAAAGAGAAATTGCCTCTACAAAATGAAATTCATGACAATTATCAGGAAATAAAAGGTAGAATAAGAAGTAAGAAACTGCTTTCTAACCAGGAGAGAAAGGAGAGCAAGACAAATAAAATGTAATGATTTCTTTAGAACTCTGAGTTCAGAAGGACTGATGTTCAACAAGACACTGTTCTAATTGCCTCCCAGTCTAATATTCCCTATTCAAACAGAAAAACCACAATAATTTTTCTTTGATTAAAATAAAGAGAAAAAAAAAACATTAAAAAGTAAACCTGCTGTAAAGAGAGAAAAGGAAAAATAAACCATTATTCTTCAATGCAAGACACCCATTGAGAACAGTGTAAATAAAGATGGCAGTTTTGATATAAAGACTGGAGAGAGAGAGACCACAATAAGAACACAGACCTCTGTTTTGCCAAAGGATACAGTTGTTGAGGTTTAAGATTCTAGACTTACTGACCCTGAGTCTTTCCAGAAACTTTACCACTCTTGGCTAAAACTGTTGAAAACTCACATTCCATAACACCGCTCTGCAGTCCCAGCAGTAGTCTAGACGGTAACAAAAACTTGAATAAGTCCCTTTGAGTTATATTTTTCTCAGCTTCCAAGGAGTGGTATAAGAATATGGTGGGCTATGATATCAAAACATAGCTCTGGATAAAGAAGCACTGAGCAGAACAGATCCTATACTATAATCTATTGATACTATTGCCCCAAGTAAATGATTAATTCCACATGCAAGAATTCCTCAAAGGAGTAGAGACATCTAGACTGGTTATGAATTTTCCAAAAGTTGGCTTATTTAATTGAAATATAACAACCCTTCCCTTTAGAGAAAAGATAAATTTCAGAAGGCTGATCAAAGTGAATCCTTTTTATATTGTCAAATTCCTCTTACTAGCCAGGGATCCCTTTCCTAAGGGAAAGTAACTCTTCAACTAAAATAGGAAATTGAGCCTGTACCATCATAAACACCCAATCAGTCCATGTGCTGATAGTGCCCACTGTCAATCCACATTGACAGAAAATCTCCTGCCTAATGACTGCCTACAACACCACCTCTGTTGTTCCTGGAACTTTATTCTTACAGACTGCTTTCTTTCCCCAAAGTTTAGGTTGTCTAACAGACCTTAATTACATTGTCAATAGAGTTTTAAATCAAACATGCTATTATTTTAATTTAGACATTCCTTAAATTTAAGCTACAATTTAGTAAGTTTCCATTGTTTACTTTGTCCATTTGGTAAAATGAAACAAGTCATACATTTAAATTCCCTGTTCTTCCTGTCACTTAGACCTCTAATTGATCTTTCCTATATGCTTGTAATAAGCGTTGGTGAAATGCTGACCTGGGATGCTTTCAGTATTGGGTCATTGAGTCATAGAAGATTTCACATTTACTATTACTTTTGGAGGTAGACTCAAACCATGTCAGAGAAATTGACAAGGCAAAATTCAACACACACACACACACACACACACACACACACACACACACATATACACACACACATATATACACACACAACTAGAGGTCCAGTGCACGAAATTTGTGCACAGATTAGGGTAGTGTCCCTTAGCTCAGCCTGCACCGTCTCCAATCTGGGACCCCTTGAGGGATGTTCGACTGCCCTCTCACAATCCAGGACTGCTGGGTCCCAACTGCTTGCCTGCCTGCCTTCCTGATTGCCCTAACTGCTTCTGCCTGCCAGCCTGATCATCTCCTAACCACTCCCATGCCAGCCTGATTGATGTCTAACTGCTCCCTGCCAGCCTGTTTGCCCCAAATTTCCCTCATCTGCCAACCTGGTCATCCCTAACTGTCCTCCCCTGCAGGGTTGATCACCTCCAACTGTCCTCCCTTGCAGGTCTGGTGCTTCCCGACTGCCCTCTCCTGCTGGCCATCTTGGGGCGGCCATCTTGTGTCCACATGGGGGCAGGATCTTTAATCATATAGGGGCATCCATCTTGTGTGTTGGAATGATGGTCAATCTGCATATTACTCTTTTATTAGCTAGGATAGAGGTCTGGTACATGAGTGAGGGCTGGCTGGTTTGCCCTGAAGGATGTCCCAGATCAGTCTTGGGGCATGGGGCAGCTTGGGGGAGGGGCCTGTGGTGGTTTGTAGGCCAACCACGCCCCCTGGCAACCCTAACAGAGGCCCTAGTATCTGGGGTTTATTTATCTTCTACAATTGAAACTTTGTAGCCTGGAGCAGAGCCAAGCCTCCTGCTTGCTCCATGGCTGCAGCTATTTCTGTTTGAATTTGTTTACCTTGTATAATTGAAACTTTGTATCCTTGAGTGGAGGCCTGGGCCAGCTAGGGTATGTGGAAAGCTTGGCTTCTTTTATTGCTGAGGAAACCCAAGCCTCTCAACTGCTCTCTGTGGCTGCAGCCATCTTGCTTGGGGTTAATTTGTATACCCACTCTGATTGGCTGGTGGGTATAGTAGTGATGGTTAATTTGCATATTATTCTTTTATTAGGTAGGATTGCATTCTAAATTGAAAATATTTGTTCTTAGAGTTATTTTATCATAATATTACTAGAATATAATTATTCAATAATTTTATAAAATTCATGGATTATAATGCCAATGATATAAGAATATTTAAAAAAAAAAACACAAAGAATTAACAATCAGTATTACCCAGTAGATTAAAAACTTTTTTTTTTATCAAGTTAAAGAAACCAAGAGATGAGAAAATATTTGAGTTTCATTACTATAAAGCGTCTCTTTCTTGACATTTGAAGGAAAGAATAGATAGTGGACAAAGTCAAGGGTGAAATAAATTTTCAATACATTACTCACTTCTTTGTACCCAAAGATGATGCGTCCATCTATGAGGAGGGTTGCCTGGAAGGTGAAGCTTCCCAGGTTGTAATTATCCTGGAGATGTACGTGGTCCCACTGAACAACAAGTGCGGTGCCTGAAAACCCCAGCAGAACAGAAGAAACACAATAAGAAAAACATATCAGTCAATTTTGGGTGGAGCCTTCACAAAAAACATGGGTCTAGCCTTCAAATCTATAATAGTAGTTGTGCTACTTAAATTTTATATAGTTAATGGAATTCTGTAATTGAAATAGCATTTGTCACATGGTGAGCTTTCAGAACACGCTAAAATCAATGACATTAGATACATTTGGTCCTGGAGATGATGATTAAATCCAGTTTTACGATAATTGAGATGACGATGAAGATACTGATGATATGTAAACAGAATTCAAAATTTCTGAGTATTATTCTACAGTTTGGATTTTGGCCATCACCTGTTAAGAAGACTAAAACTTTAGCATGAATGCAATTTGCTAAGGCATACCGACTTATTTTTTATTATTTTAAAAGTATTAATTCATAATACCTCTTTAAATAAAATGTTAACACTTCATTATTTTGCTCTAATAGAACTTAAGGGTAAAATACAACAATATCTTCTGTTAAAACAATAATGAGAGGATGGATAAAAGAAATGTTTTCCAGTTTTAAAAATAGCATTTGAAATATTGTTAAAGAATTGGGTATTCTCTAAATATTTGGTAAAATCTAACCTCATACTGAGGTTAATATTGATCCCAGTATGAGGGGATTTTGCCTTAGGAAGTTCATTAATGTTAATGGGTATTGTTTACTTAAATTTTCATGAGCCACTTTCAAAATGCAGCCCAAGTGATTTGAATGAATTTGGAATAAATTGACAAATGTTGAAAGAGAAAGGAACACATTCAGGAAAGCTAGAATTGCTTATAAAAAAACCTGAAAATGGCTCTTCCAGACTTAGAATTATAGTCTTCCATGCTGAAGAAATTCCTTTAACATGAATGGAAATATTCTTCTTTGATTCATAATGCCTGCAGTTCTGTCTTTGTTGTATTGCTTTGAGAAGGCTACAAGGTAGCTTAAAGGTCCCCAGGCTAAGATTTCTGAAGCCTCCATGAAGTACACTGGAAAAAAATCTGTAGTGCTATATATCATGTTCTAATGATTCAATCTACCAGTGTTTACAATAAAACTTTCAACATAAAATATAAATTGAAACACAGTTTAATAGGCACCAGTGAGAATTCATATCTTTGTTTTAACTGACTTCGTTTTTTCCAGTTTTTTTAAAGCAAACAAATGAACAGCTAATATTTTTTTGCTTAGCTCTAAGTATTGGACTTTCTGTTTGGTTAAAAAATCATTTTTGTCAATGATTTATGTAATACAGAAAATGAAACTCACAGAACTAAAAGAGCAAAACCAGTCTTCCAGGTCTGTAAATATCTGATTTAAAAAAAAAAATCAAGATTGTATGACAGAGCTTCTGGGTTGATGAGGATGTGGAGGTGCTAGGAGAGTCATGCCCAGAGCGGGCATGGACACTCCGCACCTCTACCCACATACTTTACTCTATGCATTCCTTCCCTCTGACTCTTCCCTAGCTAATTGCTGTATCAAATGATCTATGCAGAACAGGATGCTGTCTTTACTGTGCTTTTGAGTCTAACTTACCCTGAGAGCTTTTGACCAAGATGGCAACATAGGAGGCTCCTGAATTTCCTTCCTCCAATTAACACATGAACTGTTGTGGATGAAAAGGGTCCACCTGCTAACCTGACTCGCTCAGGGTCTGTGTGGCAGTCTGGCAAATTCAGAGACCTAAGGTAGCCACAAAGGATGGTCTGAAATGAAACATGTTTAAACTAAAAGCAGTTTATGGTGGATAGACACGTCCTAGGCCAGTATCTTCCTTGACAAAGGTCAATCTTTACCTTAACTGAACCTGTTCATTGTCTTTTTGCATCTATGATGATGTGTTGTTGGAATGTCAAAGTAATTTCCTTTTTCCAGACCCCTCAAAGCACAGGCCCCACTCTGCAGAGAGCACAAATCCCCCATTATTATTGAGTTAATTGTTGACTGTTAACTGTCCTGCACCCACCTAAGTAAAAGGAGTATGTGTCTATCATTTTACTTTTTATCAATCCCAGAGTTTCCCCACTTTGCTTTCTCCTAACTCCCTAATCTATCACCAATGGATTTCATGTAATCCATTTACATCTCCTCTCAAAAAAAAATATTGATTTTAGAGAGAGGAAGGGAGAGGGATTGAGAGATAGAAATCGCGATGAGAGAGAAACATCACTTGGCTGCCTCCTGCACACCCACCATTGGGGATCGAACCTAAATTGGACAAGTACCCTGACCGGGAATTAAACTGTGACATCCTGGTTCATGGGCAGGTGCTCAACAGCAGAGCCACACCACCCAGATTTTGTCACTTCTTTTGATTATAATGTACAAAACAAGGTGAAAACTGCTGTTCTCCAGAGCATTATCTCAAGCCATTGAGATTCTGCTTCCCAGCATTTGCTGACAATTTGGCTGAAAAAAAAAATTCTTTACAGGTTTGAATGTTTCTTACGTTGACATTACATAGCTACACACAAAGCAATTTCCTCTGAGAGAAATTCAGAAACTAGCTGAGTGACTGCTATGCATCGGGTGACTGAAAAAATATCTGCATTGAAACTGCACATCCATCAGACCCTCAAACCTCAGAGGGAAAGGAGGGGAGGGTGAGGTTAAGGGGAAGAGATCAACCAAAGGACTTGTATGCATGCATATAAGACTAACCAGTTGGCACAGACAACAGGGGGGTGAGGACATGAGGGGGGTGAGGTGGGGGGAATTTGGGTTAATAAGGACACATATGTAATACCTTAGTCAATAAAAAATTATTAAAATAATTTTTTAAAAAAGGAAATTGCACATATGTAGGTGTTGACTATGATCCTCTCTAAAGCCCTTAAGAGCCAGGCAACAGTTCCCCTGCCTTCCTTCTTTGGCTCATGACAACAATAAAACAAGGCCACCAGCACTGCCCTGGAAGGAGCTTCCACACAAGTCTGGCACCCAGTTTTGTGGAGTCACTGCAGGACAGGTCCCGGATTGCTAGCTGTGATAGACAATTGGGTTTGCATTGCTGAGTTCCGTAGGCTAGTAGCAGACAGTCTTGTCTTTGGCACTAGCCATGGCTATCCCCCTCCATCCTGAGGATTTAGCAGAGAGAGAGCTGGCAAAAAATGTCCATCCCCCAGTCTTTTCAGTTAAGGGATGTGACAACATATTTTATAAGCAGCTGCATGAGGATCCAGCAGCTAAATAGCATTCATCTACTGCTCCACCTTCTCCCTGCAGCTCACTCCAACAGTAAAACCAAGTTGCCAGTATTTGTCTTAAAGGAGCGCTGTATATGTGGAGTGTCCCAAATTGTTTGGCTGCCATTGAGGTTTGGGCCTCTAAAACAAATAGCCTTCCTCTGATAGCCAACAGGGTCTGCATTTACAAGTCAGAGATTAGAGCAAACAAAGACGTTTTGAAATGGGTGCAGAAGCACTCCCAAGATTAAACTTCCAGATACAGTGCAGAGAGAGCAAGCAAAAATGCCTGTCCTCCAATTTCTCCCTGTGAGGGGTTTGATGGCAGACTTTCCCAGCAGCTGCCAGAGAGCAGCAACAAATCAGCTTGCACCTAGGTGCTGACTGTGATGTCCCCTTTAGGACACTGAGGGGTCTTAGAACACTCTCAGCTACTGAGAACAAAGATGATGTCTCAGACCAGTGTTTCCAAAACTTCTCTCATGATGAGAATCACCTGGTGGAGTAGTTAAAATACAGATTCCTGAACTAAGGAATCTAAGGAATCAACTAAGTGCTAAACTAGAATTTTTGGGAACATATAGGTAAAATTGTATACTTAACTAGTACTTAGAGCACTAGTGATTCTCATCATGAGAGAAGTTTGGGAAACACTGTCTTAGACAGCCACAAGCATTTGAGAGGCAACCAGGAACTTGCATTGCTGAGTTCCACAGGCTTATAGTAGACAGGCTTGTCTTTGTGCACTGGCCATGGCTGGAAGGGGTCACTTCCTACACAGGATCCCTCTGACAAGAATGGAAGAGGTGGCTATTTTCTCTAATGTGAGAAACCAACACAGAGTCAAGAAATAAGAATAAAGAAGGAAATATGTTCCAAATAAAAGAACAAGATCTCCAAGGACAGATGTTAATGAAATGGAGGTAAATGATTTTCCCAAATGAGTTCAAAAGAGTCATAAAGATGATCACTGAGGTCAGAAGAGCAATGCATGAGCAAAGTGAGAATTTCAGCCAAAGACAGGAGAAGTATTGAAAACTACTAAAGAGAAATCATATATCTAAAGTATATAATAACTGATCTGAATTTTAATAGAGGGGTTCATCAGTAGAGTGCATTAAGTAGAAGATAGGATCAATGCTTTTGAAGACAGGGCAGTGGAATTCATTCAATCAGAGGAGCAGAAAGGAAAAGGAATGAAAGGAGTGATAATAGATTAAGAGACATGTAAGACATTATCAAATGGATCATTATTTAAATTTGAGGGATCTCTTAAAGAAGAGAGAAAGGGACAGAAATCTTATTCAAAGAAATAGTGGTTGAAAAATTTCCCAACCTGGGGACAAAATCAGATATCCAAATCCAGGGAGCCCCCAAATACCAAACAAGATGAGTCAAAGAGACTCACCTGGAAACATTATAATTAAATGATCAGAGTTTACAGACAAAGAAAGAAACTTAAAAGCAGCAAAGGAAAGCAATCTGTTTCTTACAAAGGAATTTGCATAAGGCTATCATTGAATTTTTCAGTAGAAACCTTGCAGGTTAGAGGGAGTGGGGTGAGATATTCAAAGGGCCAACCAAAAGCACTTCATAAATTTTTTTAAAGAGGAAAAATAAAGTATTTAACAATTATTAAAATAATTAGGGGAAGTTAATATTATGGCTAACATTCAGAGTTATTATTAGAACACACCTTATTGTTATTCAAATAGTTTGAAACACAGTTCTCAAAATATATTTCTAACTATGTTTAGTTTCCTTCTTTCTTTCATATTTTGACCTATAAAAGGCTTCATCAGCCGAAACCGGTTTGGCTCAGTGGTAGAGCGTCGGTCTGCGGACTGAAAGGTCCCGGGTTCGATTCCGGTCAAGGGCATGTACCTTGGTTGCGGGCACATCCCCTGTAGGGGGTGTGCAAGAGGCAACTGGTTGATGTTTCTCTCTCATCGACGTTTCTAGCTCTCTATCTCTCTCCTTTCCTCTCTGTAAAAAATCAATAAAACATATTTAAAAAAAAAAGGCTTCATCATCATCTGGCTTTTAGCACAATGTTCACATTTTCCCCAAACAACTGCCCCATTTTGTGTGTACTACCCACTAGTGAATTTCTTTCTTGATAATAAAGACAAGTGTAAAAATAGCTTTGTTCACACCAAATATTTCCATTATTTTAAAAGATAATATTTTTATTTGAACAAATAAATACTATCTTTATATTATAGAGTATTTGGACATGTATATCTTTTACACAATTAATTAATTAATTTGTATTTATTTTTATAGTTAACATACTATATTATGTTAGTTTTAGGTATACATTAAAGTGATTCAACATTTATATACCTTACAAAGTGATTACCACAATAAGTCCAGTAATCATCCCTGATTGTACAATATTATTGACTTTATATCCTATGCTGTAATTTACATGCCAATGACAAAATAAAACTGGAAGTTTGTACTTCCATCTTTTCTTAACTTTCCAAGCAAACTCTTTTTTTCCTATTTTCTCTACTAAAGCTAGAAGCTTCAATAAGATCTAGACATGAAAATTTATTTCTGTCTTCAGGACCTTAAATTTTTACTTAGATTTGAATACATTTTGTGATATAATATAGATTTTATTTGACTATTTTATAGCAGAGGCCTGGTGCACAAAATTTGTGCAAGGATAGGGTCCATATGCTTGACTAGCGATCAGGGCTGATCAAGGCCTTTTGGCTGCCAGCCCTCCCTTCCCTGCCTGCTGGCTACTGGCCAGGGTAGCATTCCACACTGCCCCTTGTGGTCAGCGCACATCATAGCTAGCAATCTGTCTCCTGAGGACAATATGCATATTAGACATATTAGGGATAAATTGTTGTTAGTATACATTATAAACCTTAAAAGGCTCTATTTCATATTTTAAAGTTAGGAAAATAAGATTTTCTTTTAATTTTTTTTTTTATTGATTTGAGGGAGAGGAAGGAAGAGGAAGAGAGAGAAATATCAATGTGAGAAATAAACATTAATCTGCTGCCTCTTGCATGCCTTCTACTACCTGGGCATGTGCCCTGCTTGGGAATTGAACTGGCAACCTTTTGGTACATAGGACAATGCTCAACCAATGGAGCCACATTGGCCTGGGCAGGAAAACTAGATTTTCTTACATGCATTTTACTATTCACTACCCTATATTTTTTAAAGGTGTGTTCATCTTGTAGTATATAAAGTTCATAAGTTTTGTAAATTTAATATCAATGTTTTATGACACTTGCCTCTACTTGAGGATCAGAACAAGTTATCTTTATTTAGTTTTTCTAATAGCAGGAGCTTACTGAAAATAGCATCAAATGTACTTGCTTGGTTTGAAGTGCTGTTTAGCAACTCATTTATTATGGTCTCTAATATGTCTTACTAAAACATTTATTGAACAATCAAATGAATGAATAAAATGAGTGGCATTTGACTATTTACTCTGCATATTAAGCATTACGGTATAACTTTGTTATCTTAGGGTATTTGCTCTGAGCAGTTTATAAATCAATCTATCAAAAAACTAAACAAAATACTCCAGGTTACATAAATATTAATATAAATTTGATGATCACCACTTAAAAGTATGCATTCATGGTGAAGGCTTGGGGTGGGGGATGAGGGTGGGCTAGGAGGGACCAAATGAGGGGAGAGAGGGGACATATGTAATACTTTCAATAATAAAGATTTCCTTTAAAAAAGAAGACCCCAAAAATAAATAAACAAAAATATGCATTCAATACAAAATAGGCTAATAAATACATACCATTATCAAAATATCTAACTGTTGAATTTCTGGAGACACTGGGATCAAAATTTGCCATTAAAGGTGCTATGTACTGTGTGGCTGTCAGCATTCGATGTACAACTTCTCCAGTGTATATGAAACCTATAATTAGAAAAGTAGGAAACATGTTAAGAAACAGCTCAGATACAGTTTCAATTAAAATAGCTCGAACTCAGTTGCAGTCTTATTTTGAAAATAAAATATCATAGCAACTAAAAAAAATGAATAAAATTAATGTCTTAATGTCTACTCAACAATAGTTGAGTCTGGATTAAATAACACATTTGCGTAGAATTTGGTAGCACCCTGCAGACCATCAAATCAAAAATCTATATTATGAACAACTGTAATTGTGGACAAAGTGACTATTATCTGGAAGAGATTATTAGGCTGAAAAGATTAGTTGAGTACTATCAGTAATTCCAGCATTCAATTTGCCATTATGAATCGCTTGCTATTTTAGCACTAGCCTAACATGTGACTCTTTTTTATACTTTTGTGATGTTTAATTTTATTTTCTTAAACTGCAATTTCATCTTGGGCCATTTCAGAAGCTACACATATATATCTTCATATATTTTTTCATATCCTTCTCCATTTCTAAAATGGAGAAAATGTGTGACACCTTTTTTACAAAGTTGAAGGGAAGCCATACACTCAAGAAAAAAACTTGCACATTCCTCAGGTTACATAATTCTTTATAATACCAGCACCTCATCAAAAAGATAAAGATTGTATGTTTTCAGATAAGATGGTAAAAACACTGATATTGCATTAGGCCTCTTTGCTTATCAGAGGCAGCCTACCTAGCTATTGGAGAATGAGAGGAAATTTACTATGGAGAACTTCCTCTCGAATTAAATTTCAATAGCTCTGATGTTACAACCTTACCCACTTTCAATTATCCACACTTGGTTTATCTACATTGTGGATTCTCCATGACAAATTATTAATCCTATTCCAGTTTCTTGCCTCCAAGTCTTAAGTCTAAAAGGAGAGTCAGCTCAGGGAATAATAACTCATTTTTATATTAATCTAGGGAATGCACAATTAAGAACATATATGCAAGTGGGCACACACATGTGCGAACACACACTATTACAAAATAAAATTCAGAGCAAGTTATTTATGAAAGTGCAAGTTATTTGTGTAATGTTTAGGCAATCATAAAGTAACTAGATATCTGAGGCTATTGTAAATCATTTTATTAATTTTCACAATAATTGATAAAACAAGCAAGATTTTAAAACACAAAATTAGGTAGGATTTAAACTTCTAGAAGTGTTCAAACTTTTGTTATCTCACTTCATGATCCAAATAAAGCTTTCATTGTATATTGTGATTTTATTGTTTCCAATTACAAACTGAAATTATTGGAAAATTAAATCTGTAGTGACTAAAATTCATTTGTCTTTCTAGCAGTATCTCCTTTACTTCTTTTTAAGTTTTTATCAAAGGCACATTTTAATTCTAAATATTTACCTTAAACATGTATTTTAATTAGGAAAGTCTTAACATGTATTTTGATTGTTGATTAGATCTTGTTTCTTATTTGATAAATAATAGCTCTCAAAATAAATTTCCTATGCCTTGAAGAGAATTTTGTCCATTTGCAATTTTACACAGCTCAAATGTATTAAAGATGTTACATAAAGTGATGCAGCCATTACTTTTATTTAATTTCCCTGTAGATTTTCAGAGACACTCTTGAAGTTCAAAGCCTAATTTCACATCCTTAAAATTATAAAGATGAAGAGTAACTATTTTTTGAAGGTCTATCATTTATTTTTTTTCTCTGATCCTCACTAACATGCCTTTGTAATTTCACCATTAAAATGGATAGAAAAATTCTAAAAGTCTGATAGTTTAAGAAAAAAATAAATTATACTTTGCAAATGTTCTTTCAGGGGCAGTAGCTCTGGATAGTTATTTCTCTACTCTATAGTCTCCGGGTACAAATAGATAAAACTTTGCTTGACTTGAGTAAAGAATGCAGTAACTCAAGGAGTAAGATTATTTTAAATCAATACAAAATTCATTCTCCAAAACAACTCTAAGAAAAGCATCAGCAATTTCTAAAAATAGGGTTGCAAAATGCACAACTATTGATGATTTCAGATGCTCAATTCTTACTGTTAGTTTCTAAAATCATATATATAATTTGTCACTGAATGTTCCTACACAGATTTGACAAAAAGTTATTCTCCACCTTCTATACACCCAGTTTCAGATCATGGGAATCATTAACTCTTGCTTCCTTTATCAGGAAAAAAGTTTTCCAGAATGAAAATTTCCTAAATTTCAAAGAAGCAAAATTTCTCCAAAGAACAAATTAAAAATATAAAAGATTTTGTTAGTATGTAAAAGCAATAATTGCAATCCTTGATTCTCCTATTATCTAAAATTAAAATAAATATCAGTCACCGTTACAGGTGGTGCATCTACTATTAACAAGAAACAACTGCTATAACCACTAGCACATTTGCCACCACTATTAATGTGCTACTACCATTACTGCCACCACCACCAAAAGGAATGTGAGGGGCAATCCAAGGAGAGAAGTACCCCACCACTCCACAAAATGAAATCAATGTTGCTAATTCGTGTTCCTCAGCCATATTGAAATCTACTTCCTTTGATATGTTAGTTTATTTCTTAGTGATCAAGCCGTGAAATGCTTGACTGCACTGATGGGCTCTGCAGTCCTTATATCCCCGGGTTTAAAAATGTCACCTCAGCCCTGGTTATAACTGCGTGGACAGAGACCCACAGGCCCGGAGAGCTGGGAAATGTAAGTAGGAGTTGAATAGGACCCAGCTGCGCGAATGAAGGAGACCCCGAATGCAATAAATGTGTCCTAAGCTTCAAAGGCCCCGCAGCACCCATTTAGACATTTACCTATTTTCTTCTGAATTTTATTTTTCAATTACAGTTTACATATAAATGTGTGTATTAACTTGTATTAGCTTCAGCTGAACATAGTTGTTAGATAATCATCTACTTTACAAAATGTCTTCCCCCCAATCCTGGAATTTCAGGTACCCACCTGGCACCATAAATAGCTGGGAGTTTCTTCAAAAATTTAAAAATGGAACTTCCTATGACCCTGTGAGTCCACTTCTGGGAATATATTTGAAGAAACCCAAAATGAATTTGAAAGAATATATGCACCCATCTCTCTCTCTCTCTCTCATCTCTATCTCTATCTCATTCATTTTGGTCTTTCCCATTTAAGGTAATTTAGCAAACTATTTGTATTGCAGGTGTGTGTTTTTTAGATTTGGCATTTGAAGGCTAATCACACATCTTCTTTGCTCACTATATGCTTCTAGTTTAAATAGTACTCATTTATCCAGTCATAAGTTCTGCAGAAAAATTGTTATTATTTAGATAACATGGTACCCAGAAGATACCTCCATTTGAAAGAACCAACTAAGAGAAGCAACTTTGTTTTGCATTTTTGAATTTCAAATGATAGCTAACACACATTTGCCTTTACTAGTAAACCATTTGTCTTTACTATCATAGTAAACCTGGGGTCCAATATTAATTACAGCTGTAATCACAGCTTTGTTCTTGTACCCAGAAGGTTTCTCAAGGGCTGCTTTCTGCAGAAGCTCTTCAGTCACTTGAATAATCTAGTTTTAAATCTGTAAGCCTTACCAAGTCATTTGAGGATTCTATCATTGTAAGTTCTGACATGAATAAGCCCTCCTCAGTAATTATGTATTTATCAACTGCAATTATGTATTTATTAACCACAAGTACTACTGTGATAAGGGTGAAATTAACAATTATCTTCTCTATGTTGGCCTTTACCAATTATATTGTTTCAGTATTCTCTTCAATAACTTTGGAAATAATATTATTATTTCCCTTCATTAAATGAGGCATATAATAAAGTTGGATAATTTGCTCAAAGCCAAGCGGCTAGAATTGGTTTCTAACTCCAAATTTTATGACCTCTTTACAATATACTTTAGAATTTATTGTGTTTCCAGAGCTATATGCTCTCCTCACTGGATTTCATACTTAAAGAAGGAGTAGGAAAAGAACAGTTTTCTCTGTTAAAATTTCAGCACCTACACTGCAGAGCAAAGCTGTAATCACCTCAAATCCTGCCACTTTTATTATATTACTTCATCCTCTGTTCTTTCAACTGGAAAATTGTATAAATCGGTTAAAATTAGGTTTCTTTTTGCAACCTACCAAATGACTCAAACCGGTAGGAATGACATATAATTATAGACTTTATGTAATAGTACAAGCAAATTCTTTCTTAGCCATGTGACTAAGTTCTTGACTTCTCTGTGCCTGTTCCTTAATCTGTTAAAATAGAGTAGTAATGGCATGAATATCATTGAGTTGTAATAGTTGGACGAGTTGATATATTAAAAGCACCTTCAAACAGGGCTTAAAATAAAATTTGCTGAAAATAACCAATCATTTAAATCATCTCTAATTTTTACCTGGAAGTCTTCTCTGTCCATTGCATACTAGTTGAGTGGCTTGCACTAAAATGTCCATATGACTTCAAAGTCATGTTTCAGACCCAAATGGTATGATACATGTTTCTTTGCATTATTGCCGTTTGGGTTAAGGCACACCACTGACCTAACTGCAAACCAACAGGTAACAGAACGCCTTAATGCCCAAGTTCTTAGTTTGATATGTCTTTCCTTACATTCTTTTTTTTTTATTGATTTTTTACAGAGAGGAAGGAAGAGGGATAGAGAGTTAGAAACATCTATGAGAGAGGTGCATCGATCAACTGCCTCTTGCACACCCCCCACTGTGGATGTGCCCGCAACCAAGGTACATGCCCTTGACTGGAATCGAACCCGGAACCATTGAGTCTGCAGGCCGACGCTCTATCCACTGAGTCAAACCAGTTTCAGCTGCCTTTCTTTACATTCTGATGGAATAAGTACCTTGTAAAAATATTAACCTCCTATTGGTTGTAAATGGTTGTTTCATTGAATTGGAAGTGTCATAATAATAAAGCAAGCATGAGCGGCTATAACTGCTTGTGAAACTTCAACGTATAGAGAGCTACATAAAATATTCTGCTTCATCATCGTTCCGTTGATATTTTCTATCCC